TCGCCCCGTCTTCCAGCGTCTTCAGCGGCGGAAAAAAAGAAAAAGCCGGCCGGGCGCTGGCTGCTCACTGCGGGAATCCCCACCGGCAGCATCTCCCCTCCGTGCCCCGTCTCCCCAGGAACGTTTTTTGGGGGGAGCTGCTTTGGTTTGGGGGATATATCACCGTCTTGGAAAATTATAAACCTTTAAGCTGAATTTTTTTTTTTCCCCTATTCGCCCCTGAGGTTTTCCAAGTCCTGGCTCAGTGTCCAGGCAAAACTCCCTGGATGCTCTGGAGGGAGCCGGGAAGCTGTTGCGCTGAAACCAGGAGAGAAAAACAAATTTATCTTTACATTTCTTTTCCCCCCTGCCGCTCCCAGGCCTGTTCCCACCTCCAGGATAATTCAAGCAGGACCTTTATCCCCCACGGGAATAAAATGCGGACACCCCAGGCAGGTGCCTTGCTCCGGCCCCGGTTTTCCCAGCTTATTAAAGAGGAAAACTTTAGCCCCTGCGTCCACGGGAGGAGGGGATCTGGGAGAAGCCTTCCCGCTGGATTTCTGGCCAGGAGGAGCTCTGTGTGGAGGAGAAAGACATTTTCTTTTTTAACGAAAGAGCTGCGAATCATGCCAGTGCAGCGGAGGGACACGGCCAGCAGCAGTGGTGGGCAGGCAGGGCTGGGCAGGGGAGTGCTGCACCGGGATTAGGGGGTACTGGTGGGGCAAAGGTGGGGTCTGATCCCTGTAAAAATACACCCGTGAGGATTTTCCAAGGAGCAAACGAAAGAGGAATGAAGGAGAGGGAGAGGGGGACAGGACAGGCACCAAAAACTGGCCTTGGGGTTGGGGGTAGAGGGTCAGCTCTGAGGATGCTTGGGGACGGGCAGACAGGCAGCAGGTCCATCTCCATCCATCTGCATCCCCCAGCCCTGGCCACTGCTCGCCTGCCTAGACTCAAATCCCTGCCTGCGCCCCTTCCTCGCTCCACGGCAGGAGCAGGCAGGCTTTGCTGGGGCCGGATCCGGCACACTGCCGGCAGGTGCAGTCCGTCCCCCCCCATCTCGTTAATCTGTAACACATCGGCCTCCAGCATCAAAGGGCAGAATGTGGAAAATCAGGCCCCGGGCCCCGGAGCGTGGCCATGGGCGCAGCTTGCTGGGATGTTAAAAGTTGACCAGACTTCAAAGTACTGGATCATTTCCTCCTAACCTCTCCCACCTGCTCTTCCCATGGGCATAGTTCCTTGCACTGCCCAGATTTCTTCTCATCATCCTTCAAGTGTGGCCATGAAGTGAAGAAGGGAGGAATGGGGCTGTATTTTGGGCTGCGGAGATGAGGAGGTCCGGAGCCTGCCTGTCCTGGGCTGCTCTTGCTTTCCTGCTTCTTTGGCTTTTTTTTTTTTTTTTTTTTTTTAATTTCACTTGATTCAGGGATATGCAGGATGGGAATAAACTGACCCTACACAACCCGGTGCTCTTCGGTATGTTGTTCATCTCACCTCCCTCAGCCTCTGTTTTTTTAAGGTGGTTTTGTGAACTGGTCCATCAATGATGGATGGATGGATGGATGAAGATGCCATGGGAATGGTGGTAGATATATACATTGACATGAATGTATGGGAGAGTCTATGGAGTTGGGCTGATATTGAGAGAGGATACCCCCTCCGAGCCCAGGAATGGGAAGCCACCCAGATCACATAGCTATGGGCTGGAAGAGGTCAGTCCAGCAAGGAAAGATGCTGCTGGGTCCTCATCTGCCTACAGAATGGTCACACTGGCTTTTCCATGGGGGCTGCATCCACCCTCACTTCTCCAGTGTGGCCTGACTGCTGTGTTGGTACAGAAACCCTGCACAGATGTGGACTCTGGTGTGATGGTTCCTGGTAGGCTTCCAACATACTCAGACTGGGAGGTGAGGTGGGAAAGGCATGAAAGCCAAAGGGCTTGTGCAAAACCACACAAAAGCTGATGAGAAAAGATCCCCCCAAGCCCTTGTCATGCCCACGCTCCCGCTGCTCCTGCGTTGGGTGAGCTTTCAGAGGTAGAAGATCCTAAAGGCCATTTGATGTGGACACAGCTGTGGCTTGGGTGGCTTGAACTTGTGAAGCAGATAGGATTTTGCATCTACCTCCTTGTAGGCATTTAAGCCCCCAGCTCCTGAAAGGATCATCTTCGAGACCAGAAACATCTCCAGATGAGTGTGCAGGTGCCGTAGCCCTGATAAAGCCTTTCAGAAAGCTTGGTGGCATTGGTGGCAATGCCTGTCCTGGCGCTGAGCCTGCACCCACACCCAGGACAGAGACTGGTCCAGCCATTTCTGCTCAACAAGGTGGTCCCAGAGGACCGTGGTTTTGCGGAAAGTCATTGCGACTCATGACTTGAAAGTGATGTGCAGAGGTTGGGCACCTGGGGACCTTCCCCCTGACCTTGTGCCTGACCTTGGGGACCCTACGTCCCCTGTTTTCCCGCAGGTTGAGTGGGGCAATAAGCCAGTTCACCCACACCAGGGCCCACGGAGGGCAGCAGCACTGAAACACAGACTTTTTGGGCAGCATCTGTATCTCCTGCTTGAGACGCGATTTGTCAGAACAGCACTGATGCTGCAGGCACTGGCAGCACACACGGTTTTGTGGGTGGCATCACCTGCCGTGCAGGCTGGGGATGTGGTCCTCCTTGGGGACCTGCTGGGGTGAGAGCAGGTATGGCATCAGGGGACAGAGCTGTGGGGGTCCCCATGGTCTCCGAGTACTTCTCTGTAGCAAGGGGTGCAGTCCACCCTCCCCCCCCAGCCACCAGGAGCAAACTCAAACTGCTGACCTTGGTTTGTCATTCTGGTCCCCGGGGTGGCAGCAGTGGTGGGTGCGTGGTTCTGCCGTGTCCTGCCTGGGAGCGGACCTTCCCTCATCCCTGATCCCAGCCTTTAAACCTCCTCAGGATGCTGTGGCCAGGAGCTCCGTGCTTTAGCACCGTGACTCCTGGGGATGCTTTTGAGGGTTTATATCATTGATGGTGTGAAAAAGGGCTCAGCCATGGTGTTTGGCTTCAGCCAGCCCTCCCCACTGGTTTTGGGGGTGAAGATTGGTCTCCCAGCTAATGTCCCACCCTGTACCTCCCTCCAGTGCTATAGGATGTCGCCCTTGTAAATGCTTTTCCATTCACGGCAGGGTCACCATTGCAGCAAAAATCTCTTTCTAGGAGAGCTTGGGGAATTTCGACACAGGAAATTATGCTTCCAGCCCTGGGGAGGGTTTGGGTGCTCTGTAGGATGGCACCGGAGCGTGATCTCCACGTCAGACCATCCCCGGGGTTCATGCCAGCTTTGCCCCAGGGGGCAAAGAAAGCAAGATCCCCTGCAAGACTGCACCATCGTAGGGGTGGGGAAAGGTGTGATGGCTTCGGTGCCGTGGCAGGGAGAGGAGCCGTCCCTGCACGGACCCTGGGAGAGTCCCTCCAAAACCCCGTGGGGACCGTGCAGTGTTATATTAGGGGAGATCAGCAGACTTGGCTCCCGCTCACCTCCGCAACTTACCATTAAATGGCATCAAGACGGTGTATCAGCCGCTTACATATGTTGCTTATAGACGCCAAACTTATTAACACAATAAAACTGCTGCTAAGAAGCTTTCCTGCCTCCTTTCCCGCACAGAGAGCATCAGTGTTGGAAGCACCTAGCCGCCTCGTATGGAAACACCCGGGGTTGCCTTTCATATGGCACCCAGGAGAATAAATATATGAATCAGCCAGCGTCCCCTTTCCAGCATTTCCAGACCTCGGCTGTGAGGACAGGGAGTTGGAGACACCTCAGAGCCAGGGGGTTTAAAGCCAGTCCCGGGATGAAGCCGTACCATTCCATCCCAGTGCCTGTCCAGGGAGGCGGTATGCCTCGGGGGGAGGGCTGGGACTTGAAGGGTGCTGCTGGGTAGGATGGGTGGCGGCGATATCCTCTGATGCAGAACACTGAATCAATGCATCTTCTTCCTGCTTTGCTTTGGAAGTGGTCTGAGGGGGACCCTGGCTGATTCATATATTTATTTTCCTGGGTGCCATATGAAAGGCAACCCTGGGTGTTTCCATACGAGGCAGCTAGGTGCTTCCAACACTGACATTCTCCAGGAGAAAAATAGGCAGGAAAGCTTCTTAGCAGCAGTTTTATTGTGTTAATAAGTTTGGCGTCTATAAGCAACATATGTAAATGACTGATATACTGTCTTGATGCCATTTAACATTATGTTGCGGAGGTGAGCGGGAGCCAAGTCTGCAGCATTTCGACTAATACGCAAGGAGCTGCCAATTCTGGTGGTTTTTTTTCTCCTTTTTTCCCCTTTTTTTTTTTTAATTTAAACAAGTTAGCAATCTGCCCGCGCCAAAATAATGACTCGGACCCTTCCGTCTCCGTTGCCGTTTTTTGAAAAACGGGTAAATATTGTGTTCATTTAGCCCTGGCGGCAGCTCGAGTCCCCGGCGCTGGGATGGAAAATCCCAGCTCGCTGGGTATCCCGGTCCCCATCTCTGTGGATGGGGAGAGGGGCCGGCGAGGAAAGAGCGGACCCGCTGCCAAACGCAGCCATGGCTGTGGGTAGCAGAGGTGCCAGTGTCTCTGCGTTTCCCCCTTCCCCGGTGTGTGTGGGGAAAAAAAAAGGACAAGGGGGAAAAAAAATTAAATATGAAATGCTGTGAGTTTCTCCCTTTCGCAAGTAATTTTCAGTTAATTTATGTTGAATCAATGGTTCCTTGCAGTCATATGGATGGCAGGCTCCCAGCCATTATTAGTGTAAACAGATTTGTGAGCAGTATATTTAGCTGTTCCATATTGCTTTTAGGAAATGTGCACATTTCAATGGCGTATACTTAGAGAGGGCCATACCCTGCCACCGCTCTGCAGGTGGGGACGGTGCTGTACGGAGACGCCTGTGCTCCCGGCCTCCTCTTCCTCACCCAAGAGGAAGCCTTGAGTTGGTGTGGGGGGGGTTTGGTTGCCCTTCGAGGCAGTGGGGACCATCAGGTTCTGTATGTCCCATCTGTATTTCAGATGCAAAAAAAAAACCCTGATAAATTGGGGGTTTGCTGGTGAGGGTGGCCTGGCCAAGGCTGTGCTCCATCCCACAGGTCGCAGAGGCTGGATCCAGCTCACGAGCGTGGAACAGAGGTGTTGGCACTGGTAGGGTCACCTGGGGTGGGTGCCCATCATTGTTTTGATTCTCTGGGGTACCCACCTGCTCCCCGGAGCTTTGTACAGTCTCACGAGTCTACAAGTGGGATGAGCTGAGCCAGTGCTCAAGCACCATTGGGAGTAACCCCCATGGGCTCGGCCACCTGTGTTGCCTGGGGTGGGCACCCACACAGGGACCATGCTGGATGCAGGTGGCACATCCGCCTAGGGACGACGCTGGGATGCAGGTGGCACATCCACCCATCTACGCCAGGATGCAGGTGGCACGTCCACTCAGGGACCATGCCAGGGTGCAGGTGGCACGTTCACCCAGGGACCGTGCTGGGATGCAGGAGGCACATCCGTCCGTCCAGGGACCACGTCAAGGTGCAGGTGGCATGTTCACCCAGAGACCACGCTGGGATGTAGGTGGCACATCTATCAGCCATGCCGCGAGCACAGGACGCAGTGGCCACATCCCGCACGCAGGGAGGGATCTGGATCTCCCCTCCATCGCCTGAGCGATTGATTTAAGCAAAGTTGCTGTGCTGCGGGGAAGTGCCAATCTCGAGAGGTTTGAGGCCAAAATGTAAAACGCGCTAAAAAAGAAATCCCCAGATTTCAACAGAACGGGTGTAAAACCCCAGCCAGTGGCGCCGTAAGCAGCGCTCCAAGTCCCACGGGACGGATCCTGACGTACAGCATCCTTATGCTACTCCTCTTTTCTGGTCCCGCCTGTTGTCGAGGGAGGGTCCCCAGAAGTGAGCAGGATTGGACCCTTCCCCACTTCCCCGCCAGCTTTCCTTGCTTGCTCCGCGCTGCGCGCACACCTCGCCTGCCACCAAAATAACCCAGAAAAGCTGAATCCAGAACCTGCTGCCGGTTCACACGTGCCAGGGTGGCACGAAGCGTGGGTGCAGCCCCTCCGCCAAGGAACCGGGGCAGGATATGGCCCTGGGGGCTTTTGCTATTTTAATTTTTCCTGCCGGCTTGCCTGCGTGCCCGAAAATAGCTTCCACGAGCGGGCTGGCACGGGCGATGCAGAGCATCGCCAGCCTCCAGCGGCACGGCGGCACGGCGGTGAAAGGATTTGGGCAATGTCTCACCATGGCTACCCGGACCGGGGAGAAGTATGTCGGCTCTGGGGGGAGGGTGCCAGCCCCTTTCATGGAGTAGAAAGCCGCGACATCAGGGCTCTGTTGTTGGATGTCACCATCTCCCTCCCGCCAGCGTGAAAAATCAATTAGGAAGAATTAGCGACGTGTCAACGGGTGTTGCGCGGGGAGAATTACAGGCCCCATCCTGCACACCGCTACGCAGGTTTGCCCAGGAGAAGGTGGCAGTGTGTCTCCGCTCCCTCGGCCGTCCCCAACGCCCCAGCACCATTACAATCCCCAAACCATGATGCCCAGGCATCCGAACCTGGCCCAGGGTGCTGGTTTCCAGACCAGGTGCCCGGCCACGAGCGGGGAGCTGCACACCACCCCAGCGCTCTCTGCCTCAGTTTCCCCATCCATGCGATGGCGCTTGTCTGGACCGCAGCCTTCAAGCCCCGCAGCATCTCCGGCTGGAGACCCCGTTGGAGCCCATCCCAGTGGCTCTGGGACTGGAAGCGGGTCAGCAGGAGTGTAACT